TTACGTGTCCCCAACGGGTGGGATGGCTACAGCAGATACAGACACAACAGAGAGACCTTCGAAATGGAAGATGGAGGTTTCCACATTGAAAACATTCTGCGGTCCTAACGTGGGAGGCCTTTTCAGCTCCCTAGAGCTGTTGATAGTGGTTCAGCTGCTACAGACTCTATTATTTAGGAAGGAGTGGTGTTTTCTCTTCTCTTGACAAAATTTTCAACAGAAGTGTTAGGATAAAGTTACAGTCAGTTTCACACTTTCCTACGCAATCTTTTCTCATCTTAACATTGACTACTTTTCTTTTATCTTCAAAGTGTTACTTCTAGTTGAAGAAACTGGAATTAAAGGTTTAAAAACACTGCTTGCGCCCATGGGTCAGACGGTGGTGCAGAAGCGAATGTAATGCTCTGCGAGGCCGACCCACATGGGAAGGTTTGTGTCCAGAGACGTCCCTGAGTGTGCCAGCACAGACGTGCCCAGGATCTGTGGTTGGGTGGAGTGGATCATGGTGTCACGATCCTGTGTGGGAGGGTACTACCTCTCTGTCTCTGTTTCTATCTTATTTCCCATGCTTAAATTGTAATCTTTAAAAGCACATATGCACTGCAAAGTAATTTTGGAATGAGAAACAAGCTATAGGGCCAGCCAGTAGTGTGGTGGATAAAACAGTTGGATCTCAGATGGCCAACTGCATGGTTCAAATCCCAGGCCTGGTAGCTTGAAAAACACACTGGGCACATGTGCATGCGTGACCAAAATCCTGAAAGGAGAAAGAATGAAGGAGAAGGGGCTTGCCGCGTGACCATCTCCCATGGGGGCCGGGGGAGATGCTTTCTCACTTTTCCTTCCTCTCTCTCTGTCTCTTGACAGCAGAACACACGCGAGCTAGCAAATTAAAAGAAAAAAAAAAGGCCCTATAAATAATTATACCATAATTAGAGATTTTATTTTGGGGCCAGCAGATGGCATAATGGTTAAAATGCTGGACTTCCACATAGCTGACTGTGGTTCATGTCCTGGCCCAAGTGGCTTGAAAATCATGCTGGTCACGTGTGCGTGTGTGTCCAAAATCCCAAGAGGGGAATGCAGGAGAAGAGACTGAAGTGTGGCCATCCCCAGTCGGGGGGTGGTGGTGATTTCTCACTTTCCCTCTCTCTGTCTCTTTCTGGCAAGCACACACGCCCTATGGCAAAAACCTAAAATAAATAAATAAATAAAAGACTCCAGTAGAACTAGCAATTTGGGGGCTAATTTAGTGCTTTCATGTCTTTTGAGAAGTAGGAGGACAAGCCTTTGTTCTGTGAAATACATCCATGAAATCCAGATACCACAAAAACTTGGGCAAATTGTTGATGAGCATGTTCAGTAAACTCCCTTTGTTTTCCAGGACAGACACAGAACCCCTTCTTTGTGGCACATGCCGGGGCGTTAGGTCTGCTCTCTGGTTATGGCCAGTTCTGGCTCCACCCCCAGCTCTCCCTTAGGATTTGTACCTTCATCCTCTGCTCCTAGTACAGCTGTCCCCCATGGCAACCAGACAGGCTGGTGGGGGGAAGGGGAGGAGAAAGGGAGTCTCTGAGGTTCAGGTGTATAAATCACCCCCGCTCATGCACCGAGGCCTTCCCCTCCCCACAAACACATCCCTTTGCAACCTCTCTTCTCTTGCACAGAGCAGGCCTTGAGCCTCATTAAAATCTGATTTCACCGGAAACAACCGGGCAAGCAGGAGAACTTCTTTTATTTTCTCCTTAGCCTTGAACTCTGGTTTTAGGCTTCACATCTCTTTAGGAATGACTAATTATACAATATACTTTGTTTGTATCATTTGGAATTAATAGTCTAATTGAGAAGGAAAAAAAGAATACTTTGTCACACTAACAATCTCTGGATTTACTTCCAGCCTGGTTTTCCCCTCTGTCCTTTGGCTTGTGCTCCCACCTGTGGAATGACCAGCATCTTTGCTGACAGCTGGGTGGCCCTTGCTACATGTGCCTAGTGAGCATTTAAAGGGTAGCTAGATCAAATCAAAAAGCTGTGTCAAATATACACTGGACCAAAAAAGTTTAAAAATGAATAAAATCACAAATTAATTATTTTAAAATATTGAAATGATAGTATTTGGGGGATTAGGATAAAATAAAGGTGCTATTAAAATTAACTTTACCTCTTTCTTTTTACTGTGATTACTAGAAAATTTTAAATTATACTTAGAGCTTGCATTATATTTCCTTTCAAGTGTGTGCTAAAAACACTTTTAATCTGTAGAGGGTTTGTTTTGTTTTGTTTTGTTTTTAAGAGAGGTTTTTTACTATAGGGCAAGTGCACTAGCTGGATAGACAGAGAGAGATAGAGAGACAGTGAGAAATCATCCTCTAGGGGTAATGGCCACACTGCAATCCCTTCTCCTCCATTTTCCCCTTGGGACTTTGAGCATCCATGCCCATGCACCCAGTGTGAGTTTTAAGCCACCAGGTCTAGGACTTGAACCGCAGTAGACTACGTGGGAGTCCAGCAACATAACCACTGCCATCTGCTGGCTCCTTCTTTTTTCTTTTTTTTAAGACATGGTTTTGTCAGGTTTTCTTCCTATCTCAGCCTCTCTCAAATGGGTCAATAGGCATACACCAACATGCCCAGCTTCTTTTCAGATGGTGTCCGTCTGTATTGTTCAGGCCAGCCGCGAGCTCATGGTCCCTCCGCCCTGACCTCCTCAAACCACTGGGACTATAGGCACACCACCATGTGCCTGTAGGAGCAGGATTGAACCCAGACCTTGTAGAGGACTTTTGGGGGACTTAAATATTGTTTTTTAAGGCCAGCCACTTGGCCTAGTGGTTAAGGAAGCTGAGTCCTTTGTGGCCTACTGCGTAGTTTGAATCCTGGCCCCAGTGGCTTGAAAACCATGGCAGGCATGTGTGTACATGCCCAAAATTCCCAGACGATGGAGAAATGGGGAAGGGATTTGGGTGTGACTATGACCCACTGAGGGAAGTGTTTTCCCTCTCTCTGTCTCTCTCTGTCTCTATCTCTCATTGGTGGGCACATGCGTTCCCTGGCAAATTAAAGAAGAGAAGAGAAAGTGTGTGCTTCCTAGGCAATCACGCTCTCATTTCAAAATCTTGCTAAGATGGTGCTGGTTTGTGTTGTTCGGTTGGGCTCTGTTCTAAGCCTGCTCCCAGAATGCAAGCTGACTTGATATTTCAGAACAGGGTTTGGTTGATTTTCTACTTCAGCTTGGCACATCTGCATGGTCTCTGGTTTCTCTTGGCAGGCCTCGTGAAAGGGTAGAAACCACATGCAAACATACCCACTGAGTGGCCTGGAAGAAACGCGCAAACTTGCCCCCAAAAGGTTCTGCAGGCCCCTGGTGTTCGAAATTCTTCACCTGCAAACTGTTCTAAAGAAAAGGCTTATGTCCCTAGCATTCTGGTTATGAGGATGAGTGTAGCTATTGAATGGACCTGAGTTTTAGTACAGGATCTGCCCCAATTAATCAATTTCACATCAGTCTCAACTTCAGTTTCCTCGTCTGTCAAGTGGGAACGATACTGCTGACTGCATTATGAGGACTGGATGTAAGGAGTGGAAAGGGCACATACATAGTCCGTACTTTGGAAAAGTTCACAGTAATTACTGTTGCCTTAATTCCTTGTTGAAGACTTATGTGTGAGAAAACCAGTGAAGGGGAGCCAAAGGCCCAGTAAAAGCTGAATCACTTCTTCAGCTTTATTCAACCTTATTCCCCACGTGGAAGGCTGTTTGGGCTCTGCAGACTGGGCAGGGCCTGTGAGAAGGCTGGAGGTCCTCAGGGGTTTGGGCAGTCTTCCGCAGCCTGTGGGAGTTCAGGATGGTTCTGGAGAGCCTGCTATCAGGGCCATTTCTAGGAGGCACAGTTACTCTGAAGAAGGCCCAAGCAAAAGAGAAGCAGAACCAGAATCAGCCTCGGAGCACCTTGGGTCTGGCCTTGGCCCCCGTGACTGATCAAGACAGTTCAGGTCCTTAGCCTGCCTCTCAAGGCCTCCCCAGACCATGGCTGCTTTCTTAAGTCTGGAAATGGTCTGTGGTCTGTGTTGGGAGGGGAGGCCAACTTCACTAAGTGTGCCCATGCCAGTACAGTGTTAACATTGGATTTATGTCAGGAGGACTCTAAGCAGATGCCTGCCTTTAAGTGATAACAGCTGCTACGGTGTGGCAGCAACACAGTGCCCTGCAAGGCCAGAAGCCACCTGGCTGACCACAGGTTTGGATCCCTGCATTGGCTTGGAAGTGCTGTGAGTGCCCAGGATCTGGAGGAGCTGGGAGGCTGGGCGGAGGGGATCATGGCATGACGAGACCCTGTCGAGGGTGCTTCTCCTGCCCACCCCACATGTGCATGTACACGCCACTTGCTATCTATCATTACAGGAAAGAGAGAGAGAAGGCTCAAGTCTATTTCCAGCATTTAGAAAGAGGTGCATACTACTCTTAGTCGTTGGAAAAGTCATGACACATTTTTGCATAGCAAAACCTAGAAAAATACTTTAACTTTTCCGACGATTCAGTATTTTCAGTCTGTTGATTGCATGGTATAAACCTTTGTTGATTTTGTTTCTTTTTCTTTTTGCCTCCAAATAGCTATGACTATTGTTTATGATTTCTTTCCTTTTTCTTCATTTTAGATTTGCCCTCTTCATCGGTATTTCCGCCTACTAAACACAGTCACATTGCTTTGTCTGCACCTTCCCCCTTCCCCCAAATCACATCACCAGAAGCGTTTAGAGGAGTGTGTTCCCTCACTGACTTGTTTATCCTGAGTGTGTAGTGATGAACTTTTGACCAAACACTGCAGGGGTTCTGAGCTGAGTAACCTAAGAAGTTGGAGAAGGTTTTGAGACTCCTCACGAATGCCTTTTGATAGCATTTACGTAGCTAAATAGTCTTGGGGCACAAATAAGGATAAGAGCTGGATCACTGGAAGATTGGAACTCCCTCTCAACCTGGAGTTGTGACTTGTTTTATTACAGGGAGAAAATATCAGATACACAAAAGGACTGGAAATTCTTTGAGGTGAGTCACTTAAGTTTTGGGGCTTTTTTCTCTGAAACATGCTGGGGACCGCCTGCAGAATGGTGGTTAAGGTGACCAGATCTCACATGGTTGACTGTGTGGTCTGAGTCCTGGACCCGGTAGCTTAAAGACATGCTGGGTATATGCGCATGCATGCCCGGAATCCTGACAGGAGGGAGAAAGGATTGGGGTGTGGCCAGGCTCCACTGAGGTGCTTTCCCACTCCCCTCTGTCTGTCTCCAGCGAGAGCACAGGCCCTCCGGCAAATTAAAAAAGAAAGATGCTGAATAGCAATAACCAATAGCCATTTTGTCAGGCACTTTTAGTGAATATCCCGTTTCGAAAGGCTGCTTAAGCTATGTGCTACACTTGAAGTTTTGGTCAGGTTTTGTCCCTACAAAGGTGAGTTCATGTATGCATAAATTTTCAAGACTATTGAGAAATTGGGTCATCTGGGTTTGCGTCTACCTAGTGGTGTTTTGTAGGCAGGTGTGGGGTTTCTGCACCATCTCTGAGGATTACAATTCTTGTCTGTTTTTACTTGTAGTCCTTTTACACTTTCTGTACATACGTAGCTTGGATTGTCTTTCGACGTCAGCACTGGACAGAGATTGAGGAAGAAATTGGGAGGCTCTTTCGTACCAATATGTTCAACATTCCTCGGAGGAAGCGTGAAGATGAAGAATCAGGAGGGGAAAAGAAACGCATGACTTTTGTGCAGTTCAGGTATGACATGCGGTGTTCCTAATAAGAAGGACATTTCTAGAAAACAGGACGATGGGACTTACATGTCACCCTTTTTCCTTCACAGGAGAATGATGGCCAAACGCCCAGCGATTAAAAAGGCCATTAACATGCGTTCTCCAGTCCTGTCTACTCTGCTGCCATCTCTCAGAGAAAAAGCTCAGAATGTCTTTGAGAAGAAGTATCAAGTGGGCAGCAAACTCCCGACTCAGATGCTAAAGCACATGGAAAATCTGGAGTCTGTGCCCATGCCAGTGTAAGTGACCACAGAGAGGGGAGAGCTCTGAATGCCGCTTCCTAGGTGGGCCTGGGAAGGGCGGGGCTCAGGCACGGTTTCTTAGCAGAGAGTGAGCAAGAGTGAAGCCCCGCCTTCCTACCTATGCCTGTTCCCCTCCACGCGTTCTTTCTAGAGCATCTCTAGGTATGCCCAACTAGACTAGAAAAAAATTGCTAGAAAGTTATGCTGGACTCCAAATAGCACTAGTTTGGAAGAGTGAATAACAGACTTTTTAAAGGCTGAGGTTTTTCAATTCTAGGCATCATCTTTGAAAAATGTGGGACGGGCCAGTGTAAGATCTTACAGTGGACTGACTTTTAGACCTATGTGCAAGGGCACAGTTGTGGTTCATTGAATTAGGGAAAGCATTTTTCTAAGGTTTTTTAAAAGTTTTTGCCATAGGATGCATATACTCACCAGAGAGAGACACGAGAGAGTGAGTGAGAAATTACCCTCCAGAGGGGATAGCCATGCCGCAGTCCCTCTTCTTCCAGTTTCCTTCAGGATTTGGGTCCATATGCACATGTGTCCTGTGTGATTTTCAAGCCACTAGGCTTGGGACTCAAATCATGCTCAATCACGTGGGAGTCCAGTGGCTTAACCACCATACTACCTGTTGGCCCTAGGGACAGCTTTTTAAAAGTTTTTTTAAAAAAAATAATTATTTATTTAATTTTATTTATCATTATTATTTTTCAATTTGCTATAGGGCACACATACTCATCAGAAAGAGACAGAGAGAGAAAGCAAGCTGTCAAGTCCAGGACTCAAACCATAGTCAGCCATGTGTGTGCCATGTGTGTATATGTGTGTGGATCAGCTTTGGCATACACACCCAGGCAGCCACACCCAGGCACCTCAGCCTCGGCTCTACTGATTCAGCCATACCAATCATTCTTTTTCAGAGTTGGCATCTTGGGAGAGCCTCGATCTCTGTTCAATCCCCATACTCTACTCCCCTTTGAACCAGAAGAAAACACAAAATCATCTGGGAGACATCCTTCACTGATAGAAAAAAATAACATGCGGATTCAGGATACACTGGACTTGGTCATGAGAACACTGTCTTCTCAAACAGCATATCCCAAATAGCCGGGCACATTCCATCTCTGTAGTTAAGTCCCTGTACTTGAAGTAAACTGCTTTGACTTAATCTCTCTATACAGGACTAATATTTGTTATTATTTTGTTATTATGATTAGTTTTTCAAAAATTGTTCAAGTTATTTTGATTAAAGTTCAACTATCGACTATTAAAGAATTCCGAAAACTCCCCGAAAGTTCATTTTCCTATTTTAAGTAGTTTGCTTAGTTACTTATTTACTTCCTTGACTTCTACATGACTATTTAGAGTAATATTTTAGAACATTTGGCCAGTGCTCTCATGGACTAGTAAAGAAACATTCTGTTTATTAATTTCAAGTTCATTTTTGTGCAATGAGGAAGCATCTTTGGTACAGATGATAACAAAATTTCATAATAGGAAAGGAAATTCAAGGCCAGCCAGTGGCCTGTGGTTAAGGGAACTGGATCTCACATGGCCGACTCTGCCTTTGGAGTCCTGAACCCAGTGGCTGGAAGAACAAGCCAAGCACGTGTGTGTGCAGGCCCAAAATTCTGACAGAAGGGAGAGATGCAAGAGAAGGGATTGTGGTGTGACCACACCCCACTAGGAGATGCCTTCTCTCCCTCTTTCTCTGTCTCTCTATCTCTCTGGAGAGCATATGCACCCTCTGACAAATAAAAAAATTAAGACAATTCCAAGAAAGTATTAATTTTAGTTAATAATAAAGTATCAGTATGGGTTCATTGGTTAGGCAAATAAGAGGTGTTAACAGTAGAGGGAGTTAGTGTACCCAGTGGTGCAGATTTTTTGTTTTCTTTTTTGGAGAGGTTTTTGCTATAGGGCGCATGTGCTTGCCAGAAAGAGAGAGGCAGAGGGACAGAAAGCGAGAAATCACCCCCCAGGGGGGATGGCCATCCCACAATCCTTTCTCCTCCATTCTCCTCTTGGGATCTTGGGCACGCATGCACACGCGCCCAGCATGAGTTTAAGCTGCTGGATCTGGGACTTGAACCGCAGTCGACTACATGGGAGTCCAGCGACATAGCCATTATGCTAACTGCTGGTCCCCCAGTGGTGCAGATTTTTAATACAACATTCTGTGATGCTGGACCCGATGGAAGGGTCCCAGGTCTGTGTCTTTAGGCCTACCTGTGCATGCTGGAATGTGCAGCATGTGTGTGTGCCTGTGATCCAGGCTGGCTGAGGCTTGAGGTGCATCATGACGTGGAGATCTGTCTGATGGGGGTGCCTCCACTCCTCCCATGGAAAAAAAGATCAAATAAACTTTTAAAAATAGAGGAAATTGGGTATGGGATATATAAGAACTCTTTATACTATTATCACAATTTTTCTCTGAGTCCAAACTGTTCTAAAATTAAGTCAGTTTTAAAAGATACCCACCAAGGGCCAGCAGGTGGCATAGTCATTAAGGCATGGACTCCTACATGGCCAGCTGTGGTTCGAGTCCCGGACCTGGAGGCTTGAAACTCATGCTGGGCACGTGTACATGTGCTCTCCTGGGGGACAGTTTCTTTCTTTCTCTCTTTCTATCCATGTCTGTTTCTCCAGTCTCTGTGTCTCCAGCAAGTGCACACACCCTATAACAAAAATCTCTCTTTAAAAATTAAAAAAAAAAAAAAGAGAGATCAGCAGTTGGCATAATGGCTATGTTGCTGGACTCTCACGTAGTCAACCATGTGATTCAAGTCATGGACCCGGTGGGTTAAACTCACGCTGAGCACGTGTGCGTGCGTGCCCAAGATCCTAAGAGGAGAATGGAGGAGAAGGGATTGTGGTGTGGCCATCTCCCCAGGGGGGTGATTTTTCGCTTTCTGTCTGTCTGTCTGACTTTGTCTTTCTGGTGAGTACACAAGCCCTATAGCAAAAAACTCTCAAAAAAAAATAAAAAAAGATATCCACAGAGCCAGCAGGTGGCGTTCTGTTAACAATGCTAGACTCCTATGTGGCTGACCATGGTTGGAGTCCTGAACCTGGTGGCTTGAAAATCATGCCAAGTACGCGTGAGTGCATGCCCAAAATTTCAGGAGAATGGAGGAGAAGGGATTGCTGTGTAGCCATCTCCCCGGGGGGTGGGGATGTGTGGAGATTTCTTACTTTTCCTCTGTTTCTCTCGGGTCAGTGCACATGCCCTATGGCAAAAAACCTAAGCAACAAACAAAAAATAAATCCAGCACTTATTTGTAGCATGTGGTATGTGGACATAGTCTGGGCAACATGCAGTCCTTGCTCAAGTCTCTGGGCAGGAGGGCAAGGGTCAGATGAGTGTGAACTCAGAAAAGCTGGACCTCAGAAATGAAGAGAGATGCTGTTCTAGAGCTTAATGGAGACAGCCAGTCAGGTTGGGAGATGGAGGGGTGGGGATAGAGATGGGGCTTGAAAGTGAGTGCAGCGAGAGTCGAAGCTGCTGCCATCCCCGGAGCCATCAGGCCCTCTGCCCTGCTGCCACTGCCTAGCTCCCATGTTATGCCATCGGAAAAGACCTTCAAACAGTGTCACACCTCCTAACAAAGAATAGAAGATGTCTGACTTTTCCTAGAGCAGCATCCCACTGAAATACGGGTGATAATAGAATGGTACAAGGGTGAGGAGCAGCTTCCAGTCTAGGATAAAGCCAAGTTCCTGGTACCTGACCATGTCAACATGAATGAACTCATCAAGATAATTAGAAGGCGCCGACAGCTCAGTGTTAATCAAGCCTTCGCCCTGGTGAATGGACACAGCATGGTGAACGTGTCCACGCCCATCTCTGAAATATATGAAAGTGAAAAGGATGAAGATGGATTCCTGTATATAGTCTACGCCTCCCAGGAGACGTTAGGAATGAAACTGTCAGTGTAAGACTGGAAAAATGCAGCTATTCTAAATTTTTAAAACCCTTACCAAGGAAAACAAAGGGATATTGCCAACTGAGATTGATCAGTTCATCTAGTCAGATTATCAAAACAGTGGTGTTCCCACCTAGGTGTTTTAGGAAGTTGTTTGTATTTCAAGCAGAAAAACCAAGCTCCAAATGAGTGCATTCAGCTTTGGAAAACTCTCCTATTTAACGTAGACCATCTTGTTTTCAAACTTTAGAGATTTAAAAATACAATACCTAGCATTTTGAGTTGCCAATATAATAGATGTGAAGTTATCTTAATGCTCTTTTTTCCCCCAGTAGGAACTTGCATTTTGAGTGGGAGCTTACAAGGTATTCAGAGCAATACTAAGTCTTTCTGAGCAGAACCCACTACCTTTTATAGGAGGTTTCTACTCAGCTAGAGAAATCTCCTTAAGAGAATCTTTAAGCATAAGGTGTCAAGTATAACCACCCCCTGTCCTCCAAACACATGTGCTGTTAACAGTTGGCACAAAAGCAGGAGAAAGAGGGCAATAGAAGCAGCCAATAGTCAACTGCTGCTCCAGGCTCCTGATTGCTGACAAGTACACCGAAAGTCCACCTGTTCACAGTGTTTGAAATGTTCTTACTTGTTCCCTAGACAGCTACACACAGACAAATAACATTGGTTAATAGGAACTTTGAATGATTTTCTTTACGTCTATTTTCTTAAAAGGCCTCAGAGAGGCCAGCAGTTGGAGTAATGGCTATGTCGTTTGACTCCCATATAGTCGACCACAGTTCGAGTCCCAGACCTGGTGGCTTAAACTCATGCCGGGCGCGTGGGCGTGCGTGCCCAAGATCCCAAGAGGAGAATGGAGAAGGGACTGTGGCATGGCCATCCCCCCTGGGGGATGATTTCTTGCTTTCTATCTCTCTCTGTCTTTCTGGTGAATGCATACGTTCTATAGCAAACATTTCTCAAAAAAAAAAAAAAAAAAAAAAAAAGTCCCAGAAAAAAAGAGTGGCATTTCTTGTGTTTGGGATTTTCTCTAAGACTTCAAACTAGTGCCTCTTTAAGTAATTCTGTCAGTGTCATCCTTTAGGGCAGTGATAGCAACTACAGAATAGTGAAATGGAAAACATTGAAATTAAAATGTACTCCCTTCAACCTTTTGGCTTAAAGCTGTATTTTTTATGTTAAATATGTAGTAAAATACCTTATTAAAAGGTTCTTACATTTTTAAGAGTAGTTACCACTATTAGGTCAAACCATCAGATTTTTACCCTCTAAGTGCATGTCAGTTGTAAAGAAAACATGACAAAAGCAGACAGATGCTCTTTACAAATATTAATGTCAAGACTTAAACATTTTCCACATCCAGCCTAGAATAAAAGACCAGTGCTTCCTACCACCTGCATGGGGCTATTCCTATTTTCTTGGGAGTGTCATAGAAAGATCAGTTACAGTTTTAGATTGTATGTGTAGCAGGTCACAGTTTACCCTTGTGTATGTAGACCTGAGTGGAACACCTGTGTCTGTTAGTGAAAGCTGTTTACTGTGATGGAGGGGAAAGCAATATTACTGCATCTGGGCCCTCAACTTACCATTAAAGAGATTCCTGTCACCAGCTCTCCCCACTGCATGTGTCTGTCCATGCAACTAACTTTTAATATGTATATTTTTAAACTATGTAAATTCTTAATTAACCTGTCCTGTTTAGACTGTACATGTCATTCTAAATCCTGTGTGATCAGTAAAATTCCTATAAGAAATACTGCTTTTTACAGGACCAGTACTTGGTGTAATGGCTATGTCACTGGACTCCCTTGTAGTCGACCGAGGTTTGAGTCCTGGACCTGGTGGCTTAAACTCATGCCAGGCATGTGTGCGTGCGTGCCCAAGATCCTGAGAAGAGAATGGAGAAGAGATTTCAGCGTGGCCATCCCCCCTGGGGGGAGTGATTTCTCACTTTCAGTCTCTGACTCTCTCTGTCTTCTCCAAAAAGAAAAGAAATACTGCTTTTTACAAAAATGCCACACGTGGAAGGATGACGATATTCCACTTTAATGGGTGGTCACTTATTTATAGGATCTCTAACCAAGTACATATTTAATAAAGTGAATAAAGACACAACTAAAAACTGTCCCTCCCCCAAAAAAATGTATGTGGCTTGGAGAGGCAGATGGGGTGGTGGGTACCAGGGAAGGCTTCATGGTATCCTCACAGGATTCAGGCCTAAAACCAGTGGCCATGAGCATGCCTTGTTCGGTTGAGGTGGACTGTGGGGTTAGTACGGAGTAGTGAAGACTTCCTCCTTGACAGGAAGTAAGGGACCTTCTTGCTTAACCTTGCCAGTGACTACAG